TTAAAAATACAAAGGTGGCTAGAGAATGACTGAGACGTGTTTGGCCAAATATGGGTGTATGGAGGTACAGTCATGATCCCTTTGTCTCACACAACAGGAAGTAACTTAAGTATTACTCAAAAGTTTCTCTGGTTGAACCAAGAAAGATCCAGGCCCTTAGACCTATACACCCTTCGACCATCTGTAGATGCTGGTGCTGGACTGGCTTGTTAAGTGAATCCTTGGGGCTACATCCACAAAAGTTTATACACATTATCTAGGCCCACCAAGGACCATGCCCTGTGAATTGCAATTGCAGATTGTTTTTTTTTAATATATACAATGAAAGGATGATCTCCAATGACCTTTGACACTGACTGAGGCCTTCCCAGACCAGTTGCTCTTTTGACCTCATTTGGTCATCAAAGCAGGTGGACGCCTGAAACTTGAACTAGTAGAAATAACTTAGAAATAAATTAGGGCCTCCAACTTCTAGAAACTGGTTTAGAAATGTTTAGTCAGTGATTCTGCACTATTGGTCAGATCTAACATTACAGTATAGACCATTTATTTATTAAAAGTACAAAGGTGGCTCGAGAATAACTTTGACCAGGTCACTGTGGGTCCCTAGAGTCACTCTGGCGGCCCATAGAAAGCATTGCAGACAACTCCAATGCATTTTAAATGAGTGGATTCTGTGGGCCCAAGATTGATATTGTTAGGGTCTAATAAAGATAAACTGGATGATACTGAGATATTGGCCTCCAGAGTCTTGATCAAGTGCCCCCTGGTGCCCAAAAATGCAACTACCATGAATAACTGCATACCTGGATACTGGCACTGCGATATTGGCTTACTGGCAAAATGGCCCCAATACACATGAATGAATGGCAGGCCCAACATAGCAAATGTTGTGAAAAACATTCAACTTGTAGGTAAAGCCAGGCAAAAAAGGCCAACTTCTCATGATAAAATCCTAACCCTGACCCTGACCCTGACCCTGGTAGTGGTTCCTAGCCCCACACCTAACCCCGGCCAAAACTGGCCCACATGTGTTTCAACAAAGGTGGGCCACGTCTGTTTCCTTACATTCGGGCCACTTCAGGCTCACATACGCAGTAGTCAATGCTAACTTGCCATATTTCAGCCAAAACTGGCCCAAATGTGTTTCAACAAAGGTGGGCCACGTCTGTTTCATTTCATATGGGCCGCTTCAGGTTCACATCTGTTTTGTCCAGGCCAGAAGAATGCCTACAGTGCCGGATCATTGCTAGAAGTGGCCCACATCCATCTGCTATCTGGGTTGCCTCTGTCTCCCCACACAACTATGTTGTCGTTAGTCAACATAGGGAGAGACTCTGTGTATATCCCTTCTTTCCTAACCCTTTCTGCACTTATAACTTTAGTCATCTAAAAAACTTTTATCGAATCCCAACCCTTAAAAAAACAACACATGAATGAACACATACAAAGCAAAACAATCAAAGTTTGACTCTCAAACATTTTTCTGACAAATGAGCAGTATAATTAAAATTTTATTTTATTCTTGGTAACATGGCAACAACAATAACAAAACACAACGTGAAGAAGTGTTTCACTAACATGCACTTTGAGACAAACATCCTAATCCAGCACAGCATCCTGCATTTTAACTTTATTCACTGGAACAAGAACTGAATAACTAAACTCACAACTCCGTCAAACACATCTGACCTGCTGCTCTTCACACCTGCTGTCTTACTTTTAAAAGGTGGAAGGTGCCTTCAAGTACATCACATAAAATCCAAGCTTCAGTTCAGTGTGTGAAAAAATGGGAGGTGAATTGTGGGAAGTTTCTTCTTGTGTCTTTGATTCATTCTAACCTTGTCTTCACTTATTTATGATGTTTTATTTTTTTTTACACAACAAAATCAAAACTAAAAAATATAAGGACTAACGCGCCATCATCATGTGACTGAAAAACAAATAAGTACTTTTGGTTCCAACCACATATCTGCAAACTGATTATTTATTATAACAAGCTAATCACTGCAGCTCCAGTTTGATAAAAGGTAAAACACAAAAGAATATGATGGCAGATCCTGATGAAAAACTGACATTCATTCATTCATTCATTCATTCATTCATACATATACATACATACATACATACATACATACATACATTCATTCATTCATTCATTCATTCATTCATCCATCCTTTAACAGTCTCACAAAGGGAGTCAGGAGTATTTCCCAGCATGCATGCATGCATGCATGCACAGTACTCTAGGACATGTGACTACAGCATAAAAACATTTTTGTGAACTCTGTGTATCCACAGCTGGATGACAGGGTCAGTAATGTCATTACTTACATTGACCTCCTTAAGACAGTATTATTATTTTGTTAGTTATTTATTTATTTTTTTATTATCATTTTATAAAGGTATCATTTTCATTATACAAACTTACCACTTTATGAAGGTATTATTCTATCATGTCTGTAAGTCGTGTCGTAGACCCGTGTGAGGCACAGAAATGTACTGGTTCAATATTCACTGGATGAAAGGATGTTGACCATTCAGAGCTGACTGACCTCCAACTACAAACACAAAGTGATGTCACTGTCCACTCAGAACCTCATTCAGATTTCACGTGTTTTGGCTGAAACTTTCTCACCAGCTGAATAAATGTCCTTAAAAATAAATTCCAGTCCTGAGGTAGTCTGTGTATGTGTGTGTGTGTGTGTGTGTGTGTGTGTGTGTGTGTGTGCACGTGTGTGTGCACATGTGTGCATTTATTCATTTTAATAGGTGTGTCTGTGTGTGTGTGTGTTTCTTAGCATTATTTCTTCATCTTCTTCTGCCGATCCAGAAACTTCTGTCTCCTTTCAACTGGAATCTCATCCAGACTGATCCCATGATTACTGGCCCTGAGACACACACACACACACACACACACACACACACACACACACACACACACAGAGACAGACAGACAAGTTAGAAACAGAGTCATAATTTTATTTAAGTCTAAAAATAAAATTTAAAAAATTATGCTTTGCAAATACGTGTGTGTGTGTGTGTGTGTGTGTGTGTGTGTTTGTTTGTTTGTTTGTTTGTTTGTTTGTTTGTTTGCTGTTACCCTCCGGTCAGGTCTGGAGGAACGGGAAGAAGTTTATCGAAACCATCTCGTCCTGTCAGCCAGTACGTGTCCATCGTTCCCTTCACCTGGAGGTCAGTCACAACAAATACGTCATCACACACCAGACTACGAACATGTAAACATCTCTGTCACAGTACAGTCCTGAACCTGATCTGTCTCAGGTTAAACAGTATAACTGTAACAAAGTTAGTTTGAGAGGAAGTCAGTTTTAAATCCAGCAGCTTATGACGTGTTGATCCAACGTTGAGTTCTGACTTTAATATTTTGAAACAAACAGAATTTCTTCTTCATATTTTTTTTTTTACATCATTTCATCATATCATTACGTCATTACTCCTGAAAACATCACCACTGTACATTTGAGCCTAAATCAGTCTATTCTTTTTTTTAAAGTTAACACGCATCGGTCATAACTGACATCAAGTTGTCAAAACTCTTCACATGTTTAGTGTAGCAAAGTCTATGTGGACCTAACTGTGACTACCTTTCCAAAATCCACAAACTTGTTCACACCCTGCCACCAGCGTCCACTCCTTATCTGCAGCACATTTTTTAAACATTAATACTCATATACATTAAACACAGGATGAAGTTAAATACATCAACATTTATAGAATACAGAAAGTGAAATTAACTATGAATCATTTTAAATTCAGCTGACTTAAGTGTGAGCTGAAAACCTGTCCAGGTGTCCTGATTTAGTCTCATTAGCAAACTAAGGACGACTGCCAACAAGATTTTAACTGGACAAATGGATCAAGACCAACAAGTTGTGGCTGGGAGAGGGACAATTCATGAAGGACAGCCAAGTGGAAGCCCAACAGACAAGATCCACAGTTATTATGTTGGGAACTGTCATCTCTCTTTGACAGAGTTCAATTAGTTAGAGTGCAGCCACATTCAGCCACTGCATCAACAGAACTTGTATTCTGGTACATCACAACACGTGTTTGTCCATCGGTGAGAACTCAGCTACATCTTACACCCTTGAACCCTGACTCAACTACATCTTACACGCCTGAACCCTGACTCAACTACATGATACACCCCTGAACCCTGACTCAGCTACATCTTACACCCCTGAACCCTGACTCAACTACATCTTACACCCCTGAACCCTGACTCAACTACATCTTACACCCCTGAACCCTGACTCAACTACATGATACACCCTGACCCTAACGATACATCATTTATCTAATAAAATATGTTTACATTTTTTCATGTATCAGTGATTAAAAACGAGCATGCACAGACCGTCCTGATGAAGTCAGCTCAACATTCTGGTTCAGTCTCTGTATCAGTACGAACTGTCACCCCCAGCCAATCAGGAACTCTGTTGTAGCTGATGATGTAATATTCAGGCCATATCTTGCAGAACAGTAACGGCATTTGCTGAAGCAACAAGCGCTAATCCTAACGTTAACAGAGTAAACACAACAATAAGTGATGTTACTGCAGACATAGTCAATAACAACAAGTAAACAACAACAATAGTTTGACCTCACTGAGTTTCTCACAGGGAGAGATGTCACCGTTCTTCTGAATATATTTGGGAAAAGCTTGATTTATTGATGGGCTCTGATGGTGATGAAGAAGATGTTTCTGGTGTTTTCTTAGTCTGATTGGCTGAAGGACTCTGTCTGTCAAAGTGAATAATACTGCCCACTGCAAGTGTTTGTACGAGCAGCAAGTCCAGACGGACACAGGGAGCAAAACAGGATGTTGAGCTCACGTCGTCAAGACAATTGTGCCAGGCTAGGACACAAAGGATGGCTTCCATCAGAGGGACGGACAGAATATTTTCAGGTGCAACGGAAACTGTCGTTATTGACTTGGTTATTTGTAACCATAAAACTGTGGATATCACCTTTGGTCACAGTCAGCACAATAACACTGCAGCGTTCACAAAAAATGTGACATCAATGTGTCCAGGTAAGACCTCTGTTCAAACACAAAAAGGATACATGATGTGAAGAGCTGGAGATAGACCCAGACAAACTGCCAATACATTCATCTTTGTGGATGAAGCTTGAGATTGAACCTGACATTAAACTTCACAGGACGGATACTGTGATTGGACAAAGAGAGACTGTGGATGTCCAAGGTCAAAGAGGAGCTAACGTCACACTGGGCCTCATCTACAAACAAGTGCATAGAAATGTTCTCAGTCTGCGCATAAAATACGTGCATACGCAAAATTACCATCAGATTCATGACACGTGCACACTGGCTGATTTTGTTTTTACTGCCGTGCATACATTGGTGAATCAGAATCATTTTAAACTGACAGACGTCTACCGCTCTATTTGCCATCAACACAAAGCCACGTCCCCTTTCTCTATTCCAGGTGTGTGATGGAGAAATACATATTAAAGTCCTGACACTGCAGAGTCGGGCCGTCAGTCAGAAACAGCTGATCAAATATTCGTCTCTCTTTCTTTAAACATGTCATTCTCTGATTAGCTCTGTCCTGAAGGACTGGAACATCTTCTTACGGGGTCACGTACGACGTCCGAAATCCTGCTAGGAGATAAATCAGACTGTTTTATACACCCTGTTAATAATGATCATGTCATGGCAGTAGAAACAGTGGGAGGAGCCATATTACAGGCAGATCCAATAAAAACAATGTAAACGTTTTCATGTCAAAATGAACATTGTCAAATAAGCTGGACTGGGACACTCAAGTTTTAGAGTTTAATATTTTAATTCTGACAATAATTCATGAAGATAAAAGAGCATTATTAACCTGACAGTTTTATATATTGTTGTCTCTTGAAGCCTTTTTATTGGACATAGCTTTAATATGTTCATTAAAAAGTGTTTGAATTTTCTGAGACAGCCAGGCCTTCATCATTTCTGAGGGAAATCTAAACGTGTTCGCAGATCAGAAACAAATTCAAGAAAATTTTGATGAATCCCAGATTTCTAGTAAAATGTACGGTTTAAGAGCCGATCTGTTTGTGAATGAGGCCCAGAGTGCAGCGCTGCCCATTGGTCCCTACAACACATAGAGGCTTATTTCTGTTCTGGTTAACCTGCATCATCTACTTGTGCCAACGGAGGAAAGAAGTCGAGGGGCAAGAAACTCCCCTACCTTCAATGCTGTGTGAAATAATGTGTCATCCCACAACTCTGCTGCAGTCGCAGACTGGTTTGCTGCACTTCCCCGGGAGAAAGGGTGTGCACAAGGCCGGGCTAAAGTTGCCCGAGCGGCAGCCCATTTGCCCTCTTTGGCTGAGCTGACACTCTGGAGGAAAAAAAAAAAAGTTTTATTTTTGCTGTTGTGGTTCCATAAATAAAACCTGGTGAGACCATCCTAATGACGTCAGCTCAACATTCTAGATCCCTCTCTGTATCAGTGTAAAACTCGCTGTCACCCTGCCTCATGTCCAGGAACTAAAATCCAATCATGGCCAATCAGGAATCAACACCATAGCTGACAACGTCAGCAGCCAATCAGGGACTATGTTGTAGCTGATGATGTAATATTCAGGCCGCATCTTGCAGAACAGTAACGTCATTTCCTGATGCCTTTCAGTCTGGATTTCGAGCACATCAAAGCACTGAGACTGCACTTGTAAAAGTTTTACATGACATTCATCTGACCACTGATGCATCAAAGATTTCAGTTCTGGTATTACTGGACCTCAGTGCTGCATTCGACACAGTTGACCATAATATACTACTACTCGACAGACTAGAGTTTGTGGGACTTTCTGGCACTGTGCTAAATTGGTTTAAATCTTATTTACAAGACAGGGATTTCTTTGTGTCACTTGGCAATTATGAATCTGTGCAAACGAAAATTACATGTGGAGTTCCTCAAGGATCCATTCTTGGGCCTCTTCTGTTCAACATCTATATGCTCCCTCTTGCTCAGATTATGGAATATCATAACATCTCCTACCATACTTATGCAGATGACACACAACTTTACATAACAGTGTCACCAGATGACTACAGTCCCCTATATCTACTAAATAAGTGCATTGACGAAATCAATATGTGGATGTGCCAGAATTTTCTACAACTAAACACAGACAAAACTGAGATAGTTGTTTTTGGCCCCAAAGAACAAAGATCAATAGTCAGTGCTCACCTTGACGCCATGACACTAAAACCTACAAATCAAGCCAGAAATCTTGGTGTAGTTCTGGACTCAGACCTAAATTTCAATAGTCACATTAAGACAATTACTAAATCAGCCTACTGCCACCTCAAAAACATAGCAAGAATAAAAGAATTTCTGTCTAAACAAGATACAGAAAAACTTGTTCATGCTTTCATTTTCAGCAGGCTGGACTATTGTAACGGTGTCTTCACAGGCCTGAGTAAAAAATCAATCAGACAACTGCAGCTCATCCAGAACGCTGCTGCCAGAGTCCTCACCAACACCAAGAGAGTGGAGCACATTATACCAGTGCTGAAGTCACTGCACTGGCTTCCTGTGTGTCAATAGACTTTAAAATCTTGTTACTTGTCTATAAAGCACTAAATGGTCTCGGGCCTAAATACATCTCTGATATACTTGTATGTTATGAAGCATCCAGACCCCTCAGATCATCTGGAACAGGTTTACTCAGTGTTCCCAGGATCAAAACCAAACAAGGTGAAGCAGCCTTTAGTTTCTATGCTCCCCGCCTGTGGAACAAAACTTTATGCAACTTAAAACATTACTGTTTACTGCAGCTTACCAGTGAACTACATATGTAACTTATTGTTAGGATAATCTGTAGCTATTGTTTTTATATTTGTCTGTTGTTTTTGCTTTATGTTTGCTTTTGTTTTTAATAATCTAAAACACAATTTTATTGTTCCTTTAGTGTTTTATTTTAATGTATTTCTCTTGTAAAGCATATTGAATTGCCTTGTGTATGAATGGTGCTACATAAATAAAATTGCCTTGCCTTGCCTTGAAGCAATAAGCGCTAATCCTAACGGTAGCAGACTAAACACAGCAATAAGTGATCTTACTGCAGACATAGAGTCAATAACAACAAGTACACAGGTTTGACCTCACTGAATTTCTCACAGGAACAAACATTGTCACCGTTATTCTGACAGGATTTGGGAAAAGCTCGATTTATCGACAGGCTCCGTTGGTGATGAAGAAGATGTTCCCAGAACAAATCCAGTGTTCACTGTTGTTTCACCACTAATGACGCTAATGAAGGACCAGATATGAGCAGTCTCAAAATTAGAGATCACCACCGTGCAGAACAGTGTCCACAATGCTTCAGACATGTTTTGTTGCTCTGATTGGCTGAAGGAGATTGTCAAGGCAAGTACTCCGGCCCACTGACAGTGTCTGTGGTGGAATCCAGACTGATACAGGATGTCATCAGATGGTCTCACCAGGCAGCATAAATACAAGCAGCACCCCATATTTGCTTAAATTAGACCAAATTAAATCCCCACATCATCCAGACTTTTATTATTTTTGATCGCCATGCCTCCACGGGACACAGAGATGGAGCCACCCAGAGCCAGAAAAGAACACATGCTGAAAAGTGATGCCCTGTGTGCAGCCTGTCATGTGACACTGTGACCTCCAGACTTGGTACTGTCGTTGTTGTTGAGGGCTCTGGTGCCGTCATTCTCTCTAAGATGTGAGAATAATTGATGATGAATGGCTCAATTAATAGGATGCACTACAAATACAAATACAAAATACAAACTTAAGGAGGTCTTTCCTTTAGTTAACACTCATATATTAGATATGATCAATATATCCCTATTAACAGGCTATGTACCACAGTCTTTTAAGGTAGCTGTAATTAAACCTCTCCTAAAAAAGCCCACCCTGGATCCAGAGGTGTTAGCCAACTATAGACCAATATCTAATCTTCCCTTTATGTCAAAGATCCTTGAGAAAGTAGTCGCAGACC